AGCCTGTTTGAGCTCGTTTACAGTGGGACGAGCTCAAGCTCGCCTTCCAACTGACGAGGCCTAAACTCGACTCGACTTGTTTACACCCCTATAAGAACCACAATACTTATACAAAACAATCAAAAGAAGATAAAAATGGCATACGGTTGATTCGGCCATGAGCACGGTATGTCCTGCGCCTCTGCTTCTGAGCTTGGTTCACCTGAATGTGAGAGATATGGAGAGCATCCACATCCAAGCCTTTAACCTAAATAAAAAATGACAAAATAATTAGCATTCAGGTAGTAATTGAGGGTAACTCTCAAATTTAAACATCAAAGCCTTACATCAGCATTACTCTCAGCATTTTTAAGCAAATCCAATATAAATCTTGCAGATTTAACGGGCCAGCGACCCTGTCCATTTGAATGGCGAGCCTTGGCTTGAGCGGTTCGCCCTACACCCCTGCAATACCTCCTGAAGGGGATGGCTTGTTTGTGGGCAATAACATCTTCAAGATACCGTTTTGCTTTAGCCAAAGGTAACTTTCTGAGAGCATGAGCAGTTTCCCTGGTATTCTGTATGGAGAACATAAGAATATTTCTCAACTTAGATCATTACTGCAGGACCAAGGATAAGAATGATACAAGCAGAAACCTTGAATATAATTGAATAAAATTAAAATGGTTTAATCTATTTTGATATTATTTTATCAAAAAAACATCACCATCCTCATTGCCATTATCACAAGAATTTGGATTTGACATTGTGAATCTTCATTTTTCATTCATTCGTGTTAAGTGATTTAGACCAATTCTACTCAAAAGTACTTGGATAACATCAAACCTTTGTCTACCCCTTACCAGCTGAGGTTCTGGCTAACATACAACAGAAAATTTTTCGGTAAAAAGCCATGCAAAACAAATTTGTAACATATCATAACAATAAAATATAATTGAAAATTAAACTTTAATGAATTAGATGCACCAATAAATATATAGAATGAAATTTACGGAATATAAGGGGAAAAACATAGATAAAAAACACTATGAAAAGATGGTGTACAAAGTGCAAACAATTGTGTGAAATAATATTAGTTAATATAAAACTTAATAAGAATGAATTGAGAAGCATTGGGAACTGAACTTAAATAATAAAGATGAAGCTAATGATAATGAGGTCATCCCAATCAACAATCACTTAATCAACACTTAAAAAATAGCTTCACTAAGCATCATGATGGTGGACAATCATGGACGGTGAAATAGTTCAAATCAT